TTTTCTTTCAAAGTAACTGCGTATAAACAGCATTTCTTTTTTCAAAATAGGGTATTTCGAAATGGCGCCCAGACGTGATTATGTAAATGAAGTGCGGGAAATTCAAATCCGCACTTCATTTGCAATTTCGCTCAGCTGCATTTGCATTCCTCTATAAAAAAAGAATGCAGTGTAGACATACCCTCAGAGAAGAAAAATTTCCCTAAAATGGCAATACAAATAGCATTGGTTAGCAGTGCAGTACAATGCAGAGATTTCCAGGACAAGCCTTTGCTACTTGTTCAGATGGTACATTTAAATAGAGTATCTGCATCTGAAAAGAAAACTATGAGGTGTTATTTAGTTTCCCTCACTCCCTAAATTTGAGTTTAAGAGTCAAATACAGGATCTACCTCTATCATTTTTAGCATTAGATTTCAGTTGTAATGGTAGGTTTAAAGTCTGATTACCTTAGTTAAAAAAGGATGAGCATTAAGTGCGACAGCAGCTGTTCTCACTATGGAAAAATGTAGTAGTCTCCAACACTTTACCACTGCATGAACGGAGGCCATATTGGATTTTGAGAGTACAGCAACATTTGCTAATGAGTCTCCTCTGTTATGCATAGGAATACAAAGAATGCTGCATACACTCTCACAGGTGACTTATGGAAAACTGAAAGATCTTCTATTTAGAAACTATTCTGTTAATATCTTTTCTTTTTTCCTTCTCATTTATTGGTATAACCAAGACAGTTCCCTGAAAGGCATACCCATCCCATCCGTAAGATAGTTCAGTGCAGCTGCTGCCAACCCCTTGTTTTGGAAGCCCCATGCCGGCTGCCTCAACTGTCCTATGGATGGGGCCCAGAGGATTAGCCTTGGGGCCTGGTGCAGGGCAGCAGCAGGGGTTGACCACACACCCCCCATTCACTGCGGAGGTGGGAGGCTGGAGTGACTATAGTCTGCTCCACTCTACTTTGCCCTGCCACCCTCTCCCAGCCCACTGAGTTCTGCTTCACTGTGGTGTCAGGAAGAGGAGTGGCCTCAAGCCAGGGAACTCTGGTTCCTGCTGCCGTGGTGAAGCAGAGTGCAGCAGGCATAAGAACATAAGAATGGCCATAATGGGTCAGACCAAAGGTCCATCTAGCCCAGTATCCTGTCTGCCGACAGTGGCCAATACCAGATGCCCCAGAGAGAGCGCTGGGGAAAGGGGGGCAAGGCGGAGCAGGTTGCAGAGTCACTCCAGCTCCTGCATCTGCGGTGAGTGCGGGAGTGGAGGCTGATCCCAGCTGAAGCGCTGCACCATATCCCCAGGTAATGTCCTGACTTACTTTGCCCAGGGGACGGACTTTGTGCGGGGAGAGGGGGAGATGCGGCTTGGGGAAAAAGGTGGAACAGAAACAGGGGGTTGCCACAGGCCCTGTGCCCTCTCCCCCCATCCACCCCCATTCCCCAGAAAAGGGCCCTGCTAAAAAGTATTGTAGAAATACTTTATAAAATGAAGTATATTCTAATATTTGTCTAGAAATCTGGCCCAGACTTTCAGAGAAGGCCCCCTCAAGTCCATTTGAGAGTCTTCCTTGAGTACATGGATTGCTAGGTCAGGATATCTGGAGTTCAATCAGTGCTGTGTGGATATCATGCAATACATGTTAGCGGCTCATAGCTGCTTGTTATTATTGAGTTTCATTGCTTTGGTTTAAGAAACTCCCAAGTAATTTGAGACAGTAGTTACTACAGGCTTGAACCTCTCTAGTCCAGTCCTCTGGTCCAGCAACATCCATGGTCCTGCATGATTTTAGTTAGCCGGGTGTTCACTTAACATGGGTGTGGCCAAGTTTCAGCGGTCCCATAAAGTTTGTCTACAGCCATGAGTCCTGTAATTTAATTGCTCTAATTTACCCCTAAATGTCTTCTAAGAGTTCAGTAACTAGTGGAAGCACTGGTAACGTTGCTAGACAATATTGCCCTCCCACGATTCGACAAATTCTTTGGTTTGACACCAGTCCAGAAGGTGCCAGACTAGAGAGGTTCAACCTATAAGAACTTCTGCTTAAAACTTCATCTGCTCCTGCTCACTCCTCATATGAAGTCTTGAAGAACGTAGGACTATAGACTGCCCATGTCCTATCATCATTCTTATAGCTAAGCTTGCCTGTTCATGAAGTATTTGGAAAAGGTGAGATAAGATGCCAGTCATATCAATGGGGCAGTTTTAAACAGTGCTATGCAGCTGCTACCAAGGGAAAGAAGGGAGAATAATACCTGAGATAGCCATCAGCCTCTAAAGGTCCCCATTCTGCTATAATTTGGGTCTACAAGACTTTATCCAGTGATCTGTTTATCAACCTGAAAGAACTGAAGCTTGAAGCTTTACCTGAAATATAAATTATGTTTCAGCATAGGTAACATAAGAAGTCTCTTGAAAATAAAGTGGCTGGAGCACTTTATTATATAATGCTAATAGTAGCAAGTAAGTAATGTATTAGACATCCTCCAGAGAATTGCAGAGGCAGAAAAATATTCATTAAAACTTGCTCTGCCATTCGCTTATTTTCTTTTTGACATGAAAAGATGCTCTTGGGAAACACCATGAGCACAGCAATTCATTCTTCCATTTTGACTTATTACCACTCAGCAAAAAAAATCTGTAAGTCTGCCTAGTAACTAAAAAATCCAATTGAACTTCTACACAAAGATAGCTATAAGTAGTGTTCTGTAAATTAGTGACAATTTATAGTAATTCAATAAGAAGTCTATACTTATGTTATATGAAACTTAACTGAAAACACACGCCTGTTTCATTTTTAAAGGGGATTTAGTAAAATTGTCATTCCAAAACTAAATAGAAGTATTCAGAGCATGTTTCAGTTGTACAGAGAAAAATTAAATAGTGTATGTAAAACCAGCAAGCTAATGGTAATGAAGATAAAAAGTAATTACATCTTATTTTAAGAACTAGGATGAATTAGGTTGAGTCTCATTTATACTCACAAACAAAAAACATTAGATTAAGATTAAGACTATTATTAATTTAAGGGTAGAAACATTACAAGGATGGTGTAATTATGCTAAAGCCACACATTAAAAACCTAGAATAAGGTTAAACTAATCCAAACATATTAAGGTTAGAAATAGTTATGGTACTCAACCAACCTTAATTCTGCACTATCACAACACAATGTAATAACAGAAGAATAAGGTTAAACTAATCCAAACATATTAAGGTTAGAAATAGTTATGGTACTCAACCAACCTTAATTCTGCACTATCACAACACAATGTAATAACAGAATTATGACACCATTTTAGTTTGTGGTCTCAGATTAGACTGATTTTTAAAGAGATGAAAAAAATGGAATTTCTCCATCAACCCATTGTAGGGCAGAATTACAGTTACTACTTCAATAATATACACTTTTCTTTGAAATGTAACCTTCACATAACACACGAACCAGGGATCAGCCAATAAAATAAATGGGCAACAGGTTTAACACAAATGTAAGGAAGTATTTCCTATGACAACACAGAGCCAGCCTGTGGAACCTGTTGCCAGGGGATACAGTGAAGAACAGTCTGCACTATCACAACACAATGTAATAATAATAGAGTTATGACACCATTTTAGTTTGTGGTCTCAGATTAGACTGATTTTTAAAGATATGAAAAAAAATGGAATTTCTCCATCAACCCATTGTAGGGCAGAATTACAGTTACTACTTCAATAATATACACTTTTCTTTGAAATGTAACCTTCACATAACACACGAACCAGGGATCAGCCAATAAAATAAATGGGCAACAGGTTTAACACAAATGTAAGGAAGTATTTCCTATGACAACACAGAGCCAGCCTGTGGAACCTGTTGCCAGGGGATACAGTGAAGAACAGAAGTATAACTGGATTCAAAAAAAGAATTAGGTAACTTCACAGAGGATATTTCCTTAAATGACTACGTAGTGAGGTGGGTTGGCCCTATTCTGACCCAGAAAGAGAAGGTCACTTTAATATACAGGCAGTCCCCGAGTTACGTGGATCCGACTTACGTAGGATCCCTACATACGAACAGGGTTTTTCTCGCTGCGGATGACGGGAGCGGCGGGACCATCCAGATGCACTACGGTCCCACCGCCCGCGTCCTCCACGGCGAGAAAAGCTGCTCCGCGTCTCCCTGGTCTGCTGGGGTGGCCCCTATATGAGATAAGAGATCTTTTGGAAAAGGCTTTATTTTCCCACAAGATCAGCGTCTAGACTGGTGCTTTTTTCCGGCAAAGCTCCGTGCCGAAAAAAAGCGGCAGCCATTTTTATGCTAATGAAGCGGAGGAGATTTAAATCCCCACTTCATTAGCAATTAGCGATACGTCTAATTTGCATCCCTTTTACGAAAAAGGGATGCAGTCCAGACGTAGCCAGTATGTGCTGTACATTTAGGGAAAATACATCGTTTCATACAAAAGAGGATGAATTCCCACTTTAAGTGCAAACCTGAACTATGGCGTCACAATCAATACTTTCTTAATCAATATACTTCTTACAACAATGTAGCACTGGAAATATGTAACAGAAAAATAAATGGAAGTTATAGGAAATCATTGGTGTCAGAACAGATATGCCAGTGAGAAAATGGATGGTCTGTACAGAATGTGGATTCCAGAGAACTGGTGCCTATTCATTACTCTATCATCTTTTCCTTTTCTTCCTGCGAACTAAAGCAACTCAGTCTCCAAAAAATGGGGATAACACCAGACAGATATAATGAACAAGTAAATGTTTGTAAAGCATGTTCCCATACTTGTAGAATGCCAGTTTCATTCCACAATCATCTTTTAGAAAAAAGTGTTGATTCTGTGGGTCACTACATTTAATTAATTAGCTTTATTCTCTGACATTCCTGACCAATTTCTACTTTTTACATAAATTTTACTAGGAATCAACAATATCCATTTGTATTGAATATCAAAGTAAGTCTTTTCTGGGGTAGCTGGACAGTTGCAGAAGCAACAAAAAAATTAAATTACCGGTTTGATGCGAAGCTGGTCACCCACCACTTCCAATATGGCATGTTTTCTGGATACTCTCTTATCGGTAATCTGAAGAAAAGAAAAGTCACTTGAGATAACAGCAAATTATGGCACTCATCTCTCTGGAATCATTACAGCAAACAAAAATTAAACTTTTCCGTTAAAAGTATTTCTGCAAAATCATGCCAGTCTAGAAGCAACCATAGGCTTAAAAAACTAAGGGAGAAAAAAATCTTATGCAAGTTTTTAGTTCCTAAGGACTTGCATTACAGGAACATTTTGTGAGGAACACACAACTGTAAAAAAATGAGGTAATCTTTAATCTAACGTAACCAGTGCTAATTCTTCTGTTTTTTTTCTTCGTTTGGCGCTCTAATTAAATTTTGCCACAGTCATTTGTTTTAATGGTATTATTTATCACGGCAAGAGAGCTTGCTCTTCTGTATATGCAGCAAAACTAATATTAACGGATTAAACTAGAAACTGCTATTTGCAAGTTTCTCCTGTTCATGTATTTCCTTTAAATTTGCTATTTAAAGACAAGAAGATCCAATTACATCTTTGTAGGAAACTATAATGCATCTTCCCCCCATGTTATTGTGTTTAAAGATGCTTATTCAAATTCAAACTACTACCAGAATTACACGTGTATGTTGTGACCTCTAGTGAGGAACTGTGTTACTTCACCTAACCAAATAAGTTCATAAGAGAAAACAGTTGCTGTATATAAGACTATTACATAAGAAAAGATTACTGAAAGCAACATTTGACCAGGATACATTCAATTGCGAAAAATTAAAAGTTTCTTTCATTGTAGGCACTAATTACAAACATTACATACTGAAAATTAAATAAGTATTACAAGAGCAAAGGTAGGAAAGAAACAAAACTTGTACAGGATAAGCATCCATGTACTTCTTCAGGCAAGGGTCCTAATATATCATATTGAAAAGGAAAATGGAACAGCACAGAGCCACTGAATCACATCCTTCGTGACATAAGCAGTATAAACAAAGAGGTGGTATGTTGTGTGAAATGTTCCAGGCCAGAGTTCAATAAAGATGTTAAAATATAGTTACTTTCCTAATCGACTAGTCAAAAAAAAATCATCAACTACTCAATTACTTGATAAAGGTAGGCACACCACTGAGTCTGGCTTGAACCGGGGCCAAGCATAATCTCCTCTGCTGCCACTTTGCATTGTAAAGAACAGGGGAGCCAGCATACAAAGATGCTGGTTCAGTATCTGATCCCAGGTCTCGCATCAGCCTGCATAACCTCCCCTGCTACCGCTAAAGCATTGGAAGGGCCAGAGCAGCAGCAGGGGGGGTTAAGTAGGCTGACTAATAACCCGCAGGAGCAGAGACGGAGTCAGCATCTTTGTGCACTGGCTCCCCCATCCATTAAAACGGAGAGCAGCAGCAAGGAAGGTTTTGAAGGCTGATGAGAGACCCGGGACCAGGGACTGAGCCAGTGTCTGCACGCGCTGGCTGCCCAGTCACTTAATATTGCAGAGCCACAGTGGGGGAAGAGGTGAGATGTGACTAGTCACTAGCACTAACTGATAAGCTCCTGCTTATTGGTTAGTCAACTAGTCACTTACATCCCTGAGATGAAATACTGTAAACATGTGTATAGAATACATAGCAGAGTTGCAAGAAAGAAGTTGCTGTGTGACGAGGTCCAAGGCAATAGAAATCCCATGGCAATAAGAATGAACATTGTTGTTGGCCATGAACATAGTTCACTATCCTTGTGAGGAATCAGAGTCCAATTCAGAAGATAACTAATTAGTAAAATAATCCACCAAGCTGCTACTGTGGAAGGACCCATGATACCACAGAATCCTATGTAACAGCTAATGGCCATTGCCCTTTGTATGCACAATAACCTCAAAGTCACTGCTTTGAAGATGTGCAGTAGCATTTGAGTGTCCATGATACTGCCAGACAGCCATGCATTCTACATGTCCACATGAGGTAAGAAAACAAGACCCAACACGAACAAAGATAATGTAGTCTAGTACCATCATTGTCATTATCGCCAGAGGTTGTATGTCGTGACATGGTGCCAATGTATATGCTCAGCTTCCTCACTGACACATGACCATGGGATTTGCATAGTTATTTAGGATAAATGTGAGGCAGTTTCCCTTTCCAGTTCTGTCTGTTAGTGGATATTCTCTGATATCCACTTCTGTTGGCAGGAGAAACAAGATTTCAGGCTTTACAGAGCTGTTAATCTGCAAACAACTAACAGAAGTTTCATTTTCACTGCTGTTTGAGAAAGCTATGATGGAAGCATAAGGATAAAAACAGAAGCGTAGGGAGAATAACTGAGATACACTTCCATCTATAGATCCTGACCAGCACCACTCCGATTGCAGCCATGAGAGAGCAACAAAGACGCACAAGTTAGCATGGGTCTGCAGCAATCAGGAGATTCTGATGGGAAGAGGGAACAAGCTGAGAGTGTTTTTCTTTTCATCAGAGGCTGCTGGTATGATTTTATTTTCCAAAACCCACTAGGCAGAAACCAATACAAAAATTGGTGAAGAATTCCATAGATAAGAATCCCAATGTCAGCCCCTCAAACAAAGAGAGGGTATGACGGCTGGAATTTTCAAAATGTTGCTGTTGAACTTCTCAAACTCCCCCATCATTTCTCATCTTTCCTATTGGTCTCTGACTAAATGCATAGAGTCGACAGAGTGGTTTTTTTACCCACAAAAGCTTACGCCCAAATAAATCTGTTAGGCTGTGTAAGTGCTGGCGTGTTCTTGCACGAAAACATGCCGTCTGTCTACACTGACTGTGCGTTCTTGCGCAAGTAAACTGACGTTGTACTGTAGAAAATCAGGGCTTCTTGCACGAGAACTCTGACACTCCCTCTCAGGAAGAAGCCCTCTTGCACAAGAGCTCTTCCAGAAAAGGCCAGTGTAGACACGCAACATGAATTTATTGCGCAAGAAGCCCTTATGGTTAAAATTGCCGTCAGAGCTTTCTTGTGGAAGAAGCTGTCAGTGTAGACGTAGCCTTCGTCTTTATTATGCCACAGGATTCCTTTTTGCAGATACAGAGTTAAAAGGCTGCACCTCTGAGACATGCTAATTATGCTGACTATGAATAAGACACTATGCTAAAGTATACCTGTTCTCTTCAGAGGAAGACTGGTCAAAAGGGAAAAATGTGAAGCACAGTCAAAGAGACAAACACAAAATGATGGTTCAGTGAAAAAACTCTAAGCAATTAAGGAAGTCTAAAAGTGAAAGGCCCAATTTCAATGCAACCAGAATAATTTCTTTTAAAAGTACTGGCTCCCTCATCTAACTATACCTTTCCTACCACCACAAATAGCAGATGGATTATTTAAACAGAATAAATGGAATATATCCATCCAGAAAAATAATAGCAAGAACTGTTTTGCGCAAGATTTCTTGTGCAAAAGGTCCACAAGCGTGCATCCACACTGCCATGGACGCTCTTGCACAAATGCACATCTCTTGCGCAAGAGCGTCCATGGCAGTATGGATGCTCTCTTGTGCAAGAAAGCTCTGATGGCCATTTTAGCCATAGGGGTTTCTTGCGCAAGAAAATCATGTTGCCTGTCTACACTGCCTTCTTGTGGAAGAGCTCTTGTGCAAGAGGACTTATTCCTCGTGGAGAGAGGAATAACTCTTCCGGAAGAAGCCCTATTTTCTGACGCTGTACTGTAAATTTACTTGCGCAAGAACACGCATGCAGTGTAGACACCCAGCAAGTTTCTGCGCAAGAAGAGCTGTTCTTCCGCAAAAAGCCTGCAGTGTAGACGTAGCCATAGTGTTTAGCCCTCTGAATTGCAATTATGGCGACGTGCACCCCTCTCAGAGAGGGAACATTAAGTAATTTAGTGTATTAAAATGTACAGAACAGTGAAATAGTATTTACTTTCCACTGTTCACACATTTTCCTTTTTTTCATTCTACATCAAGTATAAGGAATCCACACTGATCAGTTTCACAACTTTTTCTAGTCAATTTCACTGTTCTCATACACTAGCACTACAGAAGTGTAAATTAGACATAGAAAGCAGCTGATCAAATTGTGCCCCTATTTATAACCTGCACAAACAAGTGGATTTAACTGAAGGACCCTTGAACTCTCTTCCAAATCTAAAACCAGTTAACAAAATACATATAAAAGCTTTTGGTGAATTCAACACTATTTGCTAACTAAAGAAAGATACCATTGTGATTATGCACTAAGTGCTAATATGGATAAGTGAAGCTGAGTAGAAGCCCTGGTCTACACTTTACATTTAGACTGACATAACTACCTCACTCAGGGGTGTAAAATTCACTCCTTCAACTCCATATTTCAGGCAACACTAAGAACTCCAACTTAAGAATTCTTCTACTGACCTAGCTACTGCCACCCAGTGAGATGGAATACCTACAATGATAGAAACACCCCTCCACAGATGAAGGAAACATCTATACTACAGTGTTAAAGCAGTACAGTTGCACCACTGCAGCCATACTTCTAAACTAAATGTGTGAAAGGTTAACCAGTAAGCATCAGCTTAAATGGGTAATGCTTACCGATTCCACTTACTAGTAACTGGTGGGGGCTGCAGTAGCTTCCCACCTGCTGCAGGTGACCACTGTGGACAGGGGCTGCTCTCGTCCCCCCCCCCGCGAGGGAGGGACCCCTTCAGGCGCCCAGCCCTAGTTCCAGCAGGGGGAGGGGCGCGGAAGGGAGGGGCAGGCACCAGCAGCCATGTGGGCTGCTCAAGCCAGGCTGGAGCAGTCCTCAGCTCAGATCATGCTTAGTCATTAACCAGTTAAACATTAGGTCAACCTAACTTAATCAGTTAACTTGTTAACTGATTAACTGGAATTTTACATCCCTACTCCAAATTACAAATCCCTACTTCAATAATTACAAAATTAAGATTGTTTAAAGATACCTATGAAGGGACAATGCCAAATTAAGTCGCATCTAAAATACTATTACCAGCTCATGGTTACAGGTATACTTCGAAGTATACTATTGAGAACATTGTTTCACTTTAAATGTACACTCAGTGCTTCAGAAATAGTGATTTTTCTGGAGAATGCCCTCATGTGTTCTAAAGCACTGTTTCTCAATGATGGGTTGTAGGCCCAATACTGAGAAGCCACAGGTGGACTTGAAAAGTGAGTATATCCTGCTCTCACTTGCAGAAGCAGCTCCTGCCCCAACAGGCTGAGCCTGATTCCACATTCAAGCGTTGTGAGCTGACATGCAGGAGGCATCCCAATTTCACCCACACATCAGAACAGTTAGATAGCCAGGGATCCAGCGTGCCAGGTCAACAACACGCAGGGCCTTGCCCAGTGAAACTAGAACCACTGCGGAAGCATGCATGTGAGGCAGGGTTGCTCACTAACTGCCTCTAGGGCAGGGCCTCCCCTCCGCATTAGGCTGGGATTAAGGATGAAATATCAGGGCAGCATCAGGTACTACCACAGGTACTCAGTGCCCTGACAGCATGGCAGTTGATGATGGCACCAGCCTATGATTTTACTCCCATTGCAGATGGCTGATCCTGGCCAAACAGTGAGAGCTGCAATCATCAGTATCTGCAGCCATGTAGGCAAATATAGTGGTGGGAGCCCACCAGGAGCTAAACCTGGTAGACTGATATTTGCAGACCCCTCACCTAGAGGGTTCCTGGAAGGGCTATAAAACCTCATTTAATATGTTAATCCATTTAGCTATATGTTTAACTGGTTATCCAGTCCACCATGTTGCACCACTGCCAGGCTTAAGCAGCCCTTGCCCGTGGTGTGCTGCATGTTGCACCACTGCCAGGCTTAAGCACCCCTTTCCCATGGTGTGCTATGGATGGGGTGGGGGGCTGCTCTAGCCAAGCACCAGTCAGCCAGTTACCCCTTTATATCCCTAGTTCCTGGCACCTGTAATATCCAGGACATTCTGAGGGAAGGAGATAGTGGCATGCAGGCAACCCTATACAAGCCTGGACTGAGGCATCCAGCTGTTTCTCCCTCTGGATCCCTGACCTCGAACTACGGGGGAACAGGGAGGAGGATGTAAATATCTGGGAAGGGGTTGTGGGTGTCTGGGAAACAACTGGGAAAGGGGGCAGAGAAACCCCTATGAAACAATTCATGATTGAATACTTGACACCTGGGGGAAGGAAAAGATAGTGTATGTATTGTTACAATCAGACATATTTGCTGGCATAGGCATCTGATGCCCGAGAGGGGAAGGGGTGCAGAAAGGAAGCACCCCATTTAACCATCAAAATTTTGGCAGAGGTATGGGGAGCAGGGCAGTGAACCTCTTGGGTGTTACCACAACTTTCCTATGCTTGGTGACAAGTATTTTGAAATTAAAAAAAATACAAAAAATCAAAACTGGCATGATTATGTAGTGTTTTGACAAATACAATTTGCAAAATTTTATAAAACTTTAAAATATTTTGCTCTGAAATGTTTCTTCCCCCCCCCCCCACACTCACAGAATTTAATTTCTTGGCACAGAATGTCCCCAGGAGTAGTTAGACCCCACATTTCATCTCATTTGGAGCAGAATCCAGAAAAAGGTGTTGCTACAGAACGGGGCAATGCAAAACAGCACTGCCAACCCGTGCGAGGGATCAGTCTCCTCATGTTTCGAGTGTCTCTTAACGCCCAGCTCCCGGAGTCACGTTAAAAGGGAATCTCAGTTACAGCGGGGATAGGCTTGCAAAGAGGAGGGGGGCTGTGATTCCGCCTTCCCAGTCCGAGGACCCAATGGTCCCTTCCGGCCCCAGAAGCCCCCCCGGGATAATGTGAGGGGGATAATCGCTCCCTCACGGGAGAATCACTGGCCCAGCCCGGGGCGGCCCCCCGGCCGGGGACGGGGGGAGAGGGGAGCTGCAGCGGGAGCGGGGGCGGGGACAGGGAGCCCCCCCGAGGAGCCAGACTTACTCCCAACAGGGGGCCTCTTCCCAGCACGGTCTGGCCGGGCGGCAGCGCCAGCGGGCAGCCCCCGTCCGCGGGCGCGAGCTCGAAGCCCGGCATGGGCCCCGCGGGCGGGACAGGGCGCGGCCCCCGCTGCCCCTTTGCACTTTTCTTGAGCCAGGTCGGGAGGCTTCTCGCCCTTCCGCTTCCCTCTGGGGCGGCCAGCTAGCGGGCGCGTCTGGCTACCGCCCTGTGCGTTCAGATCGCCGCCCCGCCCGGAAACGGTAGTTCCCAACTCTCCCCCGCGCCGCCCGGCCGCGCTTCAGCGTCCCCGCAGGCAAACTACAAGTCCCGGCGTGCCCCGCTGCGGCGCATGCGCGGGGTCCTGTTTACCTTGGGAAGGGTGGAAACAAGCCCGTTCGAATGGGGGAGACGTTAAAACCGGCAACGGCGGGCAACGGCGCGGGGCCAGGTAGGGGGCGGACTGCTCCACGCGCCTGGGCCTGCTGCGGGGAGCGCTGGCTCCAGCCACGCCCTGGGCTGGGGAGTTCCGCAGCAGGGCCCAGGCTGGCAGCGGACGCAGGGCACCGTCTAACCCGGGCGGGAGCCACCGGCCCACAGAAAAGCCGCCAGGGCCACCCACACGTGAGCAGCCCATAAAACGAGCCCCTCGCATCACACTCGGCCCCTGGGGGCGGGGGGCTTCCCCCATTCCCCACCCGCGTCTACTCCTCGCCCAGCTCATGGGGGCGGGGGCAGCCTAGCCTGGGCACAGGGCATCGCCCACGGCTCGAGTGATTGCCATGGGGCTGCCCATAGGCACCAGTGTTCAAATCCCCACCTCACCCAGCATCCCAGCAGTGGTCGTCTCCAGCTCTCCTCCATGCCCCCCCCGGCTGGCTTCAGTGTCGCCAGATGGAAGCTACAAGTCCCAGAGTGCCCACAGGTGTGGGGCCTATTTTCTTTAGCAAGCCACTGCCCAATAGGCTGTGAACAAGCCCATTCGGGTCGCACCTAGGGGCAGCAACACAGGGCCAGGTAGGGTGCACAAGGCACTCTGTACTTGCTCCACACATTTCCCTATGTGCAGGGGCAGCCTATCCATATAGGCAAATCGCCTAGGGCGCCAAGTTAAATGGGGTACCAAATGGTGACACAATATTGTTGAGGGGTTTGGAGGTGGGGGCACCGATTTGCAAGGTTCGCCTAGGCCGCTCCTGCCTATGTAGAATATGGGACACCGGGGAGGGGGCTGCCAGTGCTTAGAGCTTCAGCCTCACGGTGTGGGTGCAGCCACCAACACTCAGTGCTTCAGCCCTGCAGCGGAGTGGGAAGGGGGGCTGCTGGCACTCAGAACTGCAACCTTGTAGGAGGGGGAGGGGAGGACCACCACCAGCATGCAGAGCTTCAGCCTTGTAGTGGGCGGGGGAGGGAGGAGCAACCACTTGCACTAGGGGCTTCAGCCCCATAGCTGGGGGAAGCCACTGGCACTCAAGGCATCAGTGTTGCAGGGGTGGGACAGAAGCCACCAGTGCTCAGGATTCCAGCAGCCAAAGCTCTGACTGCTGGTGGCTCCCCATCCACCCTGCCCCACTGCAGCAATGAAGTTCACCCCCACAACATGCAGAATGGGGAAGGAAGGGGAAGATACCAGGCCCTGAGTGCTGTCAGTTCCTTCTCCCACCCCCTGCAAGGGAAATTTGGGATAATGTGCCCACTTTTTTTTTTCCTACAAAGTCAGAACTGAAGGAGGCGGCCTTAAATAAGGGACTGTCCCAGTAAAAACAGGACAGATTGTCACCCTATGCTTGCAGCACTTGAACATATATCCTTAAGCATTAGAGTTATCTTGATAAAAGTTAACTGCATGTATAATATAAGTGATCCCTGCACTTCTTCACCCCTAGGATTACTCATGGTGGATGTGTGGAGACCATAAATTATGCAGAAAACCTCAAAGAAGAACAAACAGGAAGGTACTTCATGTAAAGAACGGACCATCCTTCCATCATCCAAAAAGAAAGAAGAAAGTCAGGAGGACTTTGTGGAGCTGCTGCCTCCAGAAGTCACCTTGAAAATTTTCAATGAACTGGACGTTCAGAGCTTATGCAAAGCTGCAATGACTTGCAAGAGCTGGAATCGCACAATTGAAAACAGTGACCATTTGTGGAAACATCACTGTTTAACTGTAAGAGCTGTCTGTCAGCGAGAGATAGACTTTGATCGAGGAAATGGATATTCATGGAAGGTAAATTAAAGGCCATGGACTGTCTAGCTTTGGGAACCTGGATAGCTTTGGGAATCAGTATTAAGATGTAAGGTTCTCTCCTTATCAGTATTTCTGATCCATCCACAGTGAAGAGAAAAATTAAAGTTATCTAATACCTGAAGCTTGTGAGCTCTCAGGGCTTGTCTACATTACAAAATTAAGTTGACTTAAGTCAGTGTACAAGCCACCAGTGGTTCACATGCACACTTGCTCCTTTGGTTGGTGGTGCATATCCCCACCAGGAGTGCTTCACCAACTGAAGTGGTACATAATAGGACACAGCTGAAGCCCACCAGCCTATGGTAACACTGGCATGGCACTCATTGCTGGCCCACTGTCAGCAGGGTACAATGGCCTCAGCTACAAGCCAGCATCTACAGCTGACAAGTGTAGCTATCATCACCAGAAAAGAGGACTACAACTAACAGCTCCCACTGGGGTTGATGGCCAACCAGCTGTGTCAGTTAATCAGTGTCTTAACTGCATTAACAAAAGAACTATACCCCTCATGGAGTTAGAGTTATGTTGGCATAGAAAGTGACTTATTTTGGCAGAAGCAGTATTCTAATGTAGACATTGACATAATTAGGTGAATGCAAGTCATCTTGCATCAACCTAAGTACCTAACCTTGTAATATTGACCAGGCCTTAGTGACAGTGTCACAACAACCATCACAAATGGCAGTCTCTGAAGCTCTGAAGAGATGGCAAAACAGTACCATAAAGAAAAATTAATTATCCTCTGTTCCCTGATAATAGATCAACCAGTTCTTGGATGGAACATATTGAGAAAGGAGGGCAGTTTTACACACCTGGTTAGAGCCTTGCAAGTCTGAGAATATCCACTTTATATATGCAGGTATCAGCAACCATGGATCTGGATGCGGATATCCACAGCTCATTTTTGCAGATGCTGTTGTGGATTCAAATTTTGTATTTAGAAAACCCTGCAAGTTTGTATCTGTATCCATGGAAAATGGATGCCAGGGATGTAAAAGGTTAACCAGTTACCTGGTAAGCATTAGGCTTACTGAGTAACCGATTAACTGGACTGCCAACCCCTGCAGCACAGCAACAGGCTGGCCCCAGCCACGCTGCTAAATCTGTTGAGTGAAATCCTATCAAGAAAAACAGTAGCAAATTCTCACAAGTGAGCTGTTAAATATAGGAAGGCTGAAATATAGAAAAGCTGAAAGATTGAAACACAGCTATCCAAAGATTCTGAGTAACAGCAAAAACATTTAAATACATCAAAAGCAGGAAGCCTGCTAAACAACCAATGGAGCCACTGGATATTCAAAATGCTAAAGGAGAGTTCAAAAATGATAAGGCCATTGCAGAAAAGCTAAATGAATTCTTTGCATAGGTCTTCACAGCTGATAAGTCACCAGGAGCATATGATATTCAGCCAACAGTTCAGAAGGAACTTAATTATGGAATAACAGAATTACTGTATTATGTAACCTAGGTTTTGTCTCCATTGCCAGCTTTGCTGGCAGAGGGTATGCAAATGAAGCACTGATTAGCCTTTTGTTGTGCTTCATTTGCATAATCTATTCAAGCTGTTTTTGTGCAAAAAAAAAAAAAACCCAGTGTGGACGTTTCCTTTTTGCGCAAATACACCTTTTTGCACAAGATCCTTATGCCCTTCTGGGAGAGAGAGAAAAAGATATCCCCAAAGGATCTGAACTGAGTCCAATACTGTTTGACGTATTTATAAATGATCTGGAGAAAGGGTGACCAAATTTGCTGACAATACAAAACTACTCAAGATACATCCAAAACAGACTGCAGAGAGCAACAATGGGATCTCACAAAATTGTGTGACTGGACAACAAAATGGCAGATTAATTCAATCGTAGAATCCTAGAACTGGAAAGTACCTCAAGAGGTCATCGAGTCCAGTCTCCTTGGTCACAGCAGGACCAAGCAGTGTCTAGATCATCCCTGATAGATGTCTATCCAACCTGCTCTTAAATATCTCCAGTGATGAAGATTCCACAAGCTCCCTAGGCAATTTATTCCAGTGTTTAACCACCCGACAGGATGTTTTTCCTAATGTCCAACCTAAACTAGGATGTGAAGGACTAGTCAACTATTATCGGATAGTCAACAGGATAGTCGATTAGTCGCTCTCTCCCCTCTCCCCCCCCTTTATCTGATAGTGGCAGCAAGGGGGAGGAAGAAAAAGGGGTTCTTCAAAGCAGCAGCGCCACGTGGAGTCCTGAATCATCTGGGGACTCCCCTACTGACTCTGGGCTCTGTACGGTGCTGCTGCTTTGAAATGTTATGAAGAGCCTGGTGCCAGGTTTCTTATGGCATTTCAAAGCAGCAGCACTGTGTGGATCCTGGGGTCAGCAAACCCAGGGCTCCACATACCGCTTTTGCCTTTGAAGTGTAACAGCAGCCCTAGGGTTGTTGCTACTCTTAAAAAGCGGAAGTGCACTATCAACTAATTTAATAGTTGATGCAAAAATGCATTGTCTATTCAATTAGTCACCTGATACTTACCATCCTTAACCTAAACCTCCCTTGCTGCAATTTAAGTCCATTGCTTCTTGTCCCATCATCAGACGCCAAGGAGAATAATTTCTCCCTCTTCCTTGTAACACTTTTTTAGATACTTAAACTGCTATCATGTCCCCCCTCCATCTTATTTCTGAACTAAACAAGCCCAAGTCTTTCAATCTTCCCTCATAGGTCTCGTTTTCTAGACCTTTAATCATTTTTGTTGCTCTTCTCTGAACCTTCTCCAATTTCTCCACATCTTTCCTGAAACTTGGTGACCAGTTCTATTCACAGTAATCCAGTTGGGGCCTAATCAGTGCAGAGTAGAGTGGAAGAATGACTTGTTCACAACACTCCTGTTAAGGCATCCCAGAATCATATTTGCTTTTTTTGCAACCATGTCACACTGTTGTCATGTTTAACTTATGGTCCACTATGACCCCTAGATCCCTTTTTGCAGTACTCCTTCCTAGACAGTCACTTCCCATTCTGTACATGTGAAACTGATTGTTTTTCATCTAGCCCAGGGGCGAGCAAAGGGCCTCCGCAGGCTGGATCCGGCCCCCGGAGGCCCTGCCACTGTCCCGCCCCCAAGCCAATTAGGGCCTGGGGACCATGCAAAATTTCCTCCATGCTGCCAGGAGCATACAGCACTTTGACATGCCACACGCTCCTGGCAGGATGGAAGGAGGCTTTGTGTGCTCCCCTGCCCCCAGGCTAATCAGAGCCTGTGAGGAACATGCAGCACTTAGAAGGGCCATGCATTCCTGGTAGGGTGGGAGAAGGCTTCAGGGCCTGGGGGAGAACACGAAGTCTCCTCCTGCCCTCCCAGGAGCATGTGACACTTTTAAGCCCTGTGCAGGGTGGGAACAGAGCAGAGAAACTTGGCACACACACCCAGTTCTGATTGGCCTGGGGGTAGGGGAACATGAGAAGTCTCCTCCCAACCAGGAGCATGGGTGTGCAGGGGAAAGGGGGGAGGCAGGTACGCAGGCAGGCAAGCAAAGGTGCTCCCCCCTCCCCAGACCAATCTTGGTCTGTGGGTGGACGAATCCCCCCCCCCCTCGCGCCCCCCCCCCCCCCCTTGGGGCCAGGGGCCACTTCAGAAATGTTTGAAGTGGCCCTTGGCAAAAAGTTATTGCACATCCCTGCTCTAGCCCGTGCTTCAGGAGCAAATTGCAGTCTGTAATGGCCACTCATCATTGGGTGTGGACCTGCTGCCTTTTCCTATCCTGGCTGCCGCCCCCCCCCTGCTTTCATACTCTCAGGCCTTGCCTCAGGTCCTGCAGCCTGGGAGTGAAGTCAGGCCAGAGCTCCTCAGCTCTGCCTGCCTTTCCCAGCACTGATATCTCCAAGAAGCCTTCTGCTTCCCAGGCAGCCAGGTCCCTCCTGCTCTGCAGCCAGAGCTATAGTAAGTCCTCTGTCCCTCAAGGAGCCCTTTCTATAGCCCCAGCTGAGCCCTAATTAGCAATAACTGCCTCAGCCTGGACTTTGCTCTCAGCCCCCACTAAGGGCTGGGTTTTTGTCCTTAATGGGCCAGTACAGGGCAGACGCCCTGTGACACCATTCTTAAGTACTTATGACTGCTATAGCTTCATACTTAGCAGATCAGAGAAAGAATGATTCAGACATTGCAAGTACAACCCTGAACCAGCACAGGTTTGAAAGTAAGGAGGTTACAGCCACCTCATTTGGGGCCGTAGGTCTACCTCCATAGATCACTGAAACAGAAGCAAGCCATTTCGGATTTACTTCCTCTCAGAGGAAGGAGTGTTATAGAAGTTCACTATGAGGCAAGAACTCACAAGGAGGCAGGCAGGCATGTGAGCAGATGGAGAGGTCTGAAGAGTGGACACACTGAAATCCAAATATTTCACACCTTTGTGACACCTGACTTCATTAAGCAAACATCACAAATCCTAGTCCAGGCAGTCTCTAGTTATATGGCTATTTCCAAGTCTCCCCAGATTCCTCTCTTAGGGCATGTCTACACAGAGGTCTAAACCCAAAATAAGCTACACTATTGGAGCTATGTCAATTGCGTGGCTTAAGTCAAAATAGCTTATTTCGGCTTTTGGCGCTGTCTACACAGCAGGAAGTAGAAAGAGCACTCTTCCTCTGATTTGCCTTACTTCTCATACAACGCAGGTTACAGGAGTTGGAGTAAGATGTCCTCCAGCTCAACATTATTCCAACATTATGTCGAAATAACTGCTTGCTGTGTAGACACAGACTATGTTATTTCAGAATAACTGATGTTAGTTATTAACGAAATAACACTGCTGTGTAGACTTCCGTTTATCCAGGGTTGAGGTCACAAGCTACATGTGTCAAAAACTCAACACCTTAGTATCTCCCTACATGAGCTGGAACTCAGCCACCCTGTTACAAGGGTACCTGACAGTTATTTTGGTGCTCTCAGGATAAAGAAAAAAATAGCAAGATTTTAAAAGTTTTCCTTTAAGGTGGGTATTTAGCCTGAGAGTGGGGATGAGAGGCAGAAGATTTGAGAAGTAAGAATAGTCCTCATGTTACACTGAAAAAATGTGAAAACGAAGCTCTGGGCCACACTGAAAAATGTGAAAATGAAGCTCTGGGCCACGAGAGGGCATTTGTACACCTGTATACTGCACTGAGGTCCCAGACACCCAAGTGTGTTGTAATATACAGGCAGTCCCCGGGTTACGTACAAGATAGGGACTGTAGGTTTGTTCTTAAGTTGAATTTGTATGTAAGTTGGAACTGGTACATATTGTAGGGGAAACTCTAGCCAAACATTTATCCAGAGCTCAGTTTTATTCTCCCACACCTCACTTCCCTCAGTCCTTTATTCTCAAGCTGAGGTGTCTGCTGTGAAAAGCCGCTCTGCGTCTCTCTGGCCTGCTGGGGGGAAGCAGCTAGTGCGGGGTTGCCTCAACCCGTTTGTAAGTAGGGATCCGATGTAAGTCGGATCCATGTAACCCGGGGACTGCCTGTAGATGCTTTTTTGGGTGTAAAACTTCAGTTCTCTCAACTTCTAATGTTTGCTCTGACTTCTGCTTAGTTTATTTAGGTTTTTCCAATGCTATTTAATTTTTTATTCTGCATCAGGTCACTCTACTGAGAAACTACTGGAAAAGCAAAGTGAAGCATGAATGGCTCAGTGGAAAATATAGCAACATTCATTCACGCTGTGGCTTACCAGAAAAAAGCATGTATCCTATGGATGCTGATACATGGGGAGAAATACTAGAAGCAGAACTGGAGAGATGAGAAACCAGACATGAATCTTAAATAGCAAGAAATGGCACAGAAATGACTGTTCTACTGTAAATATTTAGCCATTTACACCAGTGACACTTGCAAATATCTAGTAGAAATGTCACTGAAAAAAAAGGTATAAATATGGAGATTTTTGTTTTGCACTTTATCAGAGCAGCTTGTTGTAAAAACCCTAAATAAGATAAACTATACAATGTAATCATTTTTAAAGATCTACTGTAATGTTAAACCCATGTTAAGTCTTGGAGTGATTTTCTCAATATGCACTTTTTTAAAAAAAATTGACAGACTACAAGCGGTTTTGTTTTTCATTTTTGTTTTACTCACAATTCATTTGAAGAAGATCCATGAGACTGAAGGATCCACTAGATTGAAGAATCACCACAAGGATGAGAAAGGAAGGAGGTTGTACAGTACAAACATCAAAGCCATGGGATATGAAATACTTCAGTGACCGTTCCCATCAAGTTCTACTTGAAGTACAGTTATGGCCAAAATAATAGTGCTACCTTCTTAGAGTGCATCTACACAGCATCCTAAACTTGAAATAAGGTATGCAATTTGCTCTATGCAAATTGCATATTATTTTGATTCTATTTCGAAATAGAATATTTTGAAAATTTGGTGCGTCTACACAGTGCCAAATTTCGAAATATAGGATGTTAGCAATGAAGCTATGAAATGCATAAAGGTCAGAATTAGACTGCAGTACTGAGAACATTGTTCAATGATTTAGGGGATTATACAGTTTTAGCATTTTCTGGAGTTTAAAAAGTATGTTTTTACTGCATTTATGTCACATATCTTATAAATCCTGTTCTACATACATGACATTTTTCTGCCTGGGGCATAAGACAGTCACTATCATTAGTAAAAATTAAAGAACCAAGATAATTAATTTGATAGAACAGAGCAGCATAGAGTCCAGTTTCTAAAATTTAACATGAATATTTTTCGCAAGCATGAACTTTGGAAATCTATGCCCTCCTATACCTTGCACCAAAGACTCCTGGAGAACCAGAAACTTGGTATCTTGATTCATTTTTATTGCATCTGCTACTCCATAGCATTGTCAGCATAATTCAAAGGCCCTTGGAGTTAAATAATTTTGTGGTATTAAATATATTTCATGTTTTGTGATATTTGTGTTTGAGTGGCTAGTTCAAACTCATGTTTGTGGGGAGGAGATTCCAAATTAGGGTGCATCTACACACCACACTTATTTTGAAATATAGTAGCCCAGTGTCTAAGAGTCTGTAACACTGAAATGCTGGCTGTTCCCTCTGAGCGGCCCGTGCTGCCTGGGGAGTGTGGGGCCCAAACGGCTGCTTGCTCCTCCACGGCGGCCCAGCTGAACGGCGCAAAATTCAGCAGAGCGCCACGGCGGGAGGCAAAGGGGGGTCAGGGCAGTGACGTGCGGCATAACAGCAGCTCCAGGCCCCGTCCCCAGGCCGTGAATGTCACCGCCCCACCCCCTTTCGCCTCCCACTGTGGCGCTCGGCTGTCTTCTGCACTGCTCAGCCTGGCCGCTGCGTGGGAGCAAGTGGCGTAAGCAACCGTTTGGGCTTCACACCCCCCCCATGCAGCACGGGGAGTGCGACGCCCAAATGGCCATTTGGGCTCCACGGTCCCACGAGTGAGAGGCAGGACGGGGAGGAGGTGGAGGAGAGCTGAGGGGGGGAGGAGGCAGGAGGAGGAGGAGGAGCGAGAGACCGGAGGCTCAGGAGAGAAGACCGACGTGGAGGAGAGACCAGAAAATCCCGTCTTATGATGGGCTAATTGGCAAGTTTTGAAATAACTGATGTTATTTTGAAATAATGTGAGCGTCTACACATCAGTTCCATTATTTTGAAAGAAATTCACAACAACAGATGGTTTATTCTGACTTCTGTAAACCTCATTCCATGAGGAATAATGCCTATTCTGAAATAGCTATTTTGAAATAGCTGTAGCGTGAACCCTCCACTGCTGCTATTTCGAAATAGCTCCTCCCCAGGGCCTTTCAAACTAATTACTCCCCACTGCCTCCTGAGACTCTAAATCGAGGTAGCACATCCCCATTAGGGAAGCCTGCCTTGGACTAATTTTGACGCTTTCCTGTAGTGTAGATGTGCTATTTCAAAATAAGCTATTTCGGAGTATTTATTCCGGAATAGCTTCTTTCTAAATAAGCGTGCAGTGTAAACATACCTTTAGTTGCCTAAAGGAATATGAATGTCTTGTGCAGAGAGTAATTTGAAGGTGAACAGAAGTGTCATAACATCCTATGAGGGCTCTGGTTCTGGTGTGAACCTCCTGATGGGTCCTCATGTTATGTCCTCAATGTCAAAGAAAACTGTGTGACTGACTTCTGTGGATAGTAGATTAGGCTCCCAATCACCCACCATTGAGAAGTTTTGCTCGGGTAATAGATGCTATGACTTTTAAGCAATGCGGCAGACTACTGGGTATGCTCAGAAAAGTGTTTTAGACCATATTTAGCATTTTCCAATAATGGTGTTCACCATACCATGTGGTGTAACACATGAATATTTAAAAAATTTAAATCACACAAACATTGATTGGAACTAGGTTTTCCTTTCCCCCTGCTTAGATACTCTGACTTTATGCTCCAGTGTTACTCACACAAGCTACTGACATCAACCAGACAAGGAATGCCACAAAATAGTGAGTAAAATGGAAACATTTCCTGGGCCTCAAAATATAAAGGGCTTCGTTTTGCTGTAATTCCAGCGTTCTGGCCTTCATCATCCAGCAGTTTCTATTAAGATTTTTTTTTAATTGATTTACCTGTGGGAAGTTTTTTTTCCTAAATAAACTTCCAGTAAAATACTGGAGAAAAGAGGCAAAACACTATTAATCCTACTAAATAAAAATTCTGAAGACATCTGAAAACCTGGGGTACATCTACCCTACACATTAGTTTTGAAGCAATCTATCCTGGAATGGTTATTTCAAAATAGCTTATTTTGAAATAGCACATCTACATTAGGGAAGCCTGCCTCAGACTAATTTTGAGGCTTCCCTGAAATGTAGATGTGTTCTCTTGATTTAGAGCCCCAGAAGGCACTGGGGAGGAATATCTTAGAATGGCCCTGGTGAGAGGCTATTTCGAAATAGCTATTTCAGAATAGGCATTATTCTTTGTAGAATGAGGTTTACAGATTTTAGAATAAGCCATCCGTTATTTATTTAAAAATAACGGAATGGCTGTGTTAGACGTTCACATAGTTATTTCAGAATAACGGCCATTTAGCTATTCTGAAGTAACTCTGCTGTGTAGATATACCCTTAGAAATTAGCTGAACCTTGAAACCACTTATTCTGCTGCCTTAATTCTGCAAAGACCTGAGTGATCTCTCATGCATCTGACGAAGTGGATCTTTGCCCATGACAGCTTATGCTCCTACACTTCAGTTTGTCTATAAGGTGCCACAGGACTCCTCGTCACTCCCAGTGGTGTGGCTCATGATGTTGGCAACCCTGTCAACATCAGAAGTATCTGCAGCCACTGAGATTGCTCTACTGTACCTTCCTACATGCTCAACCACACCCAGGAGAGTGGCCTTCTGGCATCTCCACCCAAAAGAGCAGCAAACAAAATTGTTGAGGGGGGTGGCAATAGAAACAGCTCTGATACCTAGAGATGATGGCTCCACCATCAGGCATTGCTACACAACCTTCCCAAGGCAGCATAAGCCTTACAAACTGCCATGATCTCAGGCACCCCCAAGCTTCCCTTGGAACCTTTCGTCACCTCCTAGGCAACCCTTATACCTCTCCTCATTGAATGCTTCTTCCCTAGGATCTTCTCCCACCCGCTCTAAAGATCTCACCACCTAACTTCCCTAGATCTCTCACAATCAATCATTCAGCCTACCACCCCTCAGCAGCTGCCCCAGAAAACACATCCCACCACCCCTCCACTATCTTCCCTTCTCACCTACTCTAGGGAAGGGTCTACCTGGGGGAGCATGGGGAGGACTTCTTCCCCTCTCTTTCTGAAGATGGCAGGGAAAATAAGCTCTCTCACATACACAGCATGAAGTCACTGAGTTTCCTATCCTCTGAGAAGTGTCACATATTGCTGCTAAGAGGGTGGTGAATATCTGATGAATGTATCAAAGTCTTTGCCCTAATTTCCACATTTCAAGCTGATGTGTGGTGGGCCTCTACCAATGACTCCTCTATCTTAGCAGTCATTTCCAAAGGTGGAGCTGCTAGTATGGGGTGTATTCTGCATCACAGAAAAATAAAGTCTGAAGTCATTGGGTTCTACTTGCCACAGAGGAACAGTACATAGAAGTGACAAGTACATGACATTAGGGATATGAGAATAAGTAGCAAGTTTCTGTGTTAGTCAGATTCCCTGAAAGAAACATAGAAGAAGCAAGGTTTTGTTAAGAGATAAAGGAATAGATTTTACACTGAAGTCGTGATTCAGTGGATGCTATCTTATGCGCTACCTTGGATCTAGGCCAGCCGTACAACTTCCTCAGATCAAGAGAAGATCCAACTGGGCTGTTCAGTCAGGAGCATTTTTAATCCATTGCATACCAAATGTGGATTCCTCAACCCTGACACTGATTAAAATTAAGCTGTTTCAAGGTACAAAGAATATTACACACCTCAGGTCGAATAAGAGACTGAAGAAGCTTCTCCATGACAAATCACATCTTTCAGCATATATCCCCATATAGACCGGGGGGGAGGGAAGGGAGGTGTACTGTATGCTTTTGGAACCACTCTCAGCATTAAAATACATGAAATCACAAGGCAGTTATAATACTGCTCCCAAATGTTACATCCAATTTAAAGGGAAATTGCATTCACGCATCTCAGAGTAGCACTGAAATTTCAATAATCACATCTCAATGAAAATTTCCCAGTAAAACAAGACAGTGATATTTGGTGCCATCTTTTGGCATGTCAAATACTGGAATACTCCAGATGGGTACAGTTTTCTAGAGATATGTAATACCTTTGACTCAAGTCCACCCATACTTAGCCTTGGTTAAAAGTTTCAGAGGAGTAGCTGTGTTAATCATTTTTGCAGGTAGACTAGGAGTCCTGTTAACACCTTAGAGGCTAACAAAAATATATAGTAGCATGTACTTAATGATACTATAATTGTATCCATGAAAGCTGATACAATATATTTGTGAGTCTAAAGTGCCACAGGACTTGCTCGGTCTTTTT